AGGATACACGCGTTTCACTTTTGGCTTTTTGTATTCTAATCTGGATCTATTCATCGGGGCTGAGGAGTCATGAACTCACGCCGCCGCCGCCCTGACAGTTGACGCTAACACCGACACCGACGCGGTGAGGCATGACGGACGGTGATGCCCTGGTCCTGGTGGCCGGTGCCCTCTGGCCTCTTCCTTGCTGCCCTCCGTTCACCGATCACGCATCTACAGTTGCAGTTTGCACGGCCATGCAGTCACGGAGGCTCGCTGATTCACTATTTCTCTTAGGTAAAATTTAATCTTCTGCTCTTCGTCTTTTTTAGAAAATTGTTGTCTAATTTGATAGCTATTTGCTAACATCACAAATAACAAATTGTTTAATATTTACGTAGTTATGAAGAGAAACTCGGATATTGCATCTCTTTTTCAGAAGCATCAAGCAAAAAAGGCGGCGGCAGCAGCAACTGCTTCTAATCATTCCCCCGATCCGGTAGAACCTGTGGTGGAAGAGCAGACTCATGAGAGAATTGAGGAAATTACAAATCCTATACCACTGCCACCGCCACAACCGTCTTCACTATCACCAGTATATGACATCAATCGCCTTCCACATGATCTAGGTGAAAGACGTCCCATTCTAAAATATCCTGTTAATAATCAAGATGCAATTCGAAGAGCATATATTATTAAAGGTCCATTCAAACCTTTTGCACATGATTTTTCAAAAAGAAAGATTTCAGGCAAGGATCGGGGATTCAATTATTGTTGGATGTACAATCATGATTGTCTTGAGTATAGTATTAAGAAGGATGTTGTGTTTTGCTTTATATGCTACTTGTTTAAGAAGGGTACTGGGTCAGACACATTTACTATTGATGGCTGGAAGAATTGGAACATAGGAGAGAAAAGCACTTCTCAAACATGTGGGTTCTAAGGCACATATTGCAGCTCAAGAGAGATACATTGACTTTAAAAATCCCAAGGTTGCAATTGATTATAATATTGAGAAGTGGAGTGACGAGGGTCTTCGTCTTTATAAGAAAAGGTTGACTTATTCACTTAGGTGCATCAAGTTTCTTTTGCATCAAGGGTTGGCATTTCGTGGATATGATGAAAGTGAAGAATCTAGCAACAGAGGGAACTTCATTGAACTTTTGAAGTTTCTTGCCAGAAATAGTGAAGAAGTGAAGAAGTATGTTTTGGACAATGCTCTAGGTAACTGTACCTTAACTAGCCCAGACATACAAAAACAAATTATTCACTGTTGTTCCATAGAAACTAGAAAGAAAATAATTGAAGAACTTGGTGATGAGCCCTATGCAATTTTAGCTGATGAGTCTAGTGATATATCACATAAAGAACAACTAGCTTTTTGCTTCTGTTATGTTGATAAATTGGAGAGGCCATGTGAGCATTTTATTGTAGTTGTTCATGTAGATGATACTACCTCTTTATCACTTAACGATGCAATTGAAGCTTTACTTGTTAGTCATGGCTTGAGTATGACTCAAATCCGTGGGCAAGGATATGATGGGGCTAGCAACATGAAAGGAGATATTAAAGGGTTGAAAACATTGATCATGCAAGAATCACTTTCTGCTTATTATATTCATTGTTTTGCTCATCAACTTCAATTGGTTCTTGTTGCTGTTGCCAAGGAAAATACTGATTGCAAGAGTTTTTTTACCAAATATCTATCTTGTTGAATATTGTTGGAGTTTCTTGTAAGCATCATGACATGCTTAGAAATGCTAGGCTTGAGAATGTCAAGAAAACACTTAACTGTGGTGAAATTGAATCTGGAACCGGATTACATCAAGAGATGGGTTTGCCTAGGCCTGGAGATACTCGATGGGGATCTCATTACAAAATGGTGCAACATCATTACCATGTATGAAGCAATCCATGATGTACTGGTTGATCTTGGGGATGATCCTTCATATAAGGATGATTCGACCAAAATACATTTTGTGACTGGAGCGTTTGAGACCTTTGAGTTTGTTTTCTTTACACACTTAATGTATATTATTCTTGGATATACAAATGAGTTATTTGAGTGTTTGCAAAGAAGGGACCAAGATATTTCTAATGCAATATCACATGTTAATGTGGCAAAGACAAGAATGCAAGAATTGAGGTATGATGGTTGGAATAATTTTCTTGAGAGGGTCACTTCATTTCGCGATAAACATGGTGTTGAAGTTCCTGCTATGGATGGTGATTATGTTCCTTATGGAAAATCAACAAGGAAAGCTCGTGCCCAAAAGCAAACCAATGATGACCACTTCAGAAGAGAAGTATATATTGATGTCATTGATCAAATAAGTCAAGAACTTGATAATCGGTTTGACGAGATTAATATGGAGTTGTTGTCTTGTATGTCGGCCTTCAGTCCTTCTAATTCATTTGCTTCTTTTGATGCACAGAAGCTATGTAGACTAGCTGAGTTCTACCGAAAGGAGTTCTCAAATAATAATTTTCTCAAACTTGAATTGTAGCTATATAATTATATTGATGACATGAGACATGATGATAGCTTCAAAGGTCTAGATAATATTGTTGATCTCTCAGTTAAGCTTGTTCAAACAAAGAGGCACAAAGTGTATGATATGGTTTATGAGCTCCTCAAATTGGTATTGCTTCTACCCGTGGCAACGACAAGTGTTGAAAGGGTATTTTCTGCAATGGTTTTAGTAAAAACAAAGTTAAGAAATAAGATGGGAGATAGTCTTTTGGATGATTGTCTAGTCACTTTCATTGAGCGGGATAATTTCTTTGAAGTTGATGAAGATGATATAATCAAGACATTTATGTCCCTTCGAAAGCGTCAAATAAAATAGTCTAAAAAATAGCATTGTAAGTCTCTGGTTCTCTTTTATGCCTATATTTCAATTATCGGTATGGCTTTTGAACTATTTATGCTATATTTAGTGGATGGTTTGAACTTAATCCATGAATTTAAACCTTATTGTGTTACTTAGTGCATATATACCGAATCACGTTGTCAATTTTACAATTATTACCGAATTGCTGAAATGAATTTACCGAATTGTATATGAAATTTTTTGGACGGCATACCCTTAGACAAAATCCTAGATTCACCACTGTGCTGAAGCTATCGCTGTCCATGCCTCCACCTTCACTCGATCTGGATGAGAGCGGCGCCATGTCGCCCAGACTGCTAGGGAGCGAGGAAGGAGGAAGCATGGGAGAGTAGTAGGGCTTTATTGAAGTACTCACCGTGTCGATTTGGAGGAGACCCTCGCCGGCCATCATGGCTGCGAGCAGTGCGCCCACCTCCAACGCGACAGAGATGAGGATGATAGATGTCCTCAAAACTCCCATGAAGGGGCTTATTCCACTAGGGTTTATTACAAGGAGATGTGGAGGGGAAGGAGAGGAGGAAGGAGAACCGGCCCTCCTGCCCTGTCGCCGGCGAGCTCGCCGGGGAGAAGGTAGGGGGCTGGCGGCGGGTGTCTCACTAGGAGGCTGTCTCACTTAGGAGCTCGGGTGCATGCGGCAAGACGGTCCGGTCCGTCCGTTGGTTCAAATGTAGGTTGTTTTAAGATACGATGCTGGTGTAGAGAAGGTAGCCGTATGCATGTGAGTTGTGTTAAGCGCACCGAGCATTGCTTTGGGCTAATTGTTTCTCCACTATGCTAAATTTGATCTTGCAATATTCGATTGTTTGCATTCTTTGATATTGCATAAAGGAATATGCCTAATTGCTCTTCCACAAATAGATACCTTGAATCAACAAGGTTATTTTCACGAGAGCTTGGAAACATCTCTGTTTCCATATGGAACTGTCTTTTGCATACGGTCTCATACCTGTTAGAGTTTCATGAATAAATGCGGCTCCATTCTGGATGGAATTGTATATTGCTCTTCCTTTTTGTTTCGATATGGAACTGTCTTTTGCATACGGCCTCATGCCCTGTTAAAGTTTTATGAATAAATGTACGGCCTCATTCCTTCTTAGAGTTTTATGAATAAATGTGGCTCCAATCTAGATAGAATTGTGTATTGCTTCCTTTTTGGATGATTGGGATGGGTTACTTTTTCCAGTGTTGTTGGGTGGATGAGGAAAATAAATTCATCTTTGTTTTGTGATCGTTGGCGATAATTTAGATCCATAGAAAGAAAAGCACCTCCTACCACTAAAAGATGGTTGATAGCACTACTGCACTAGGATGAGAGACGTGCAACTCTTCAAGGTCGAAAAATGAGCACGTGCTTTGTGTTGTGTAGTGCTACTTGTTTCTGTATTCTGGATTCAGGATAGGAGGTGCAACTCTCAATGGTCTGAAGGAGTATGCTTTGTTTATTGAAAAATGTGAAAACTCAAATTTCTTTCATGCAATCGAAACAGTCCAAAAATTCTATTTATGTGGTTTGGAATCACATACATATAGTTTTCCACTTTTTATAGTTTTCCATTTTTCACTTCCTCTCGTTCCTGTTTTCTAACGTTTCTCTGTTTTATTTACATTTACTTCAAACAGAGTCTGAATCGGGAGGGTCTCGATTTAGCTGTCAGGTTACAAAATTACCTACTCCTCGCTCTTCTCTTTTGGCAATTAGGTTAGGGTTAGGTAATTGGGTTAAATACGTGGAGAAAGGAACAGAGACAAAGTGGAAACAAATTTCACCGACCAACCAATGTTGGGCTGCCGTATGCCTTGCTGACTTGTCCACGACACGCGGATCACTTCCCTTTGGCACCTCTCCTTTTCTCCCCAAGAAGATGAGTGAGAAGAGGACCAAGGAGGGGATCTCGCTCAGACCAGCGAATCCATCCACCAAGATTCCGTGCACCTCCACCTCCGCCTCCGCTGTCGGTCTGTCCCCGCGGCTGCGGCCGCGGCAGCCTAGCAGGAGGAGGATCCCTCCTCTCTTACTCCCTGTCTAGTGTCTAGAGCAGCTGCTTGCGTCCCTCGCAAAGCACATCGACGGCACGGCCAGGGATTCCGCGAATTTCCCACCGCTTGCTGCTGACACCCCCAGCACTGATGGGGATACCCAACGACGACGTGGTGCAAATCCGCCATGCCGACGCCGCTGGCGAGCCCACCGTCGTCACCGTCAGCTGCCCCGACAAGACGGGCCTCGGCTGCGACCTCTGCCGGGTCGTGCTCCTCTTCGGCCTCAGCGTCGTCAAGGGAGACATGAGCACGGACGGGCGGTGGTGCTACATCGTGCTCTGGGTGCTGCCACGCGGGGGGCGGCCCATGGCCGTGCCATGGGACCTCCTCAAGGACAGGTTGCTTCAGCTCTGCCCCGTCGCGCCGCCGTTCGGATTCGACAGCGCGTACCTCGTGGCGGCTGGCCTACAGGACGTTGCGCCTCCTGCACCACAGCTCTTCTTGCTCAAGTTATGCTGCTTCGACCGGATGGGGCTCTTGCATGGTAACACCTCCACTCCATCTCCTGCTATTGCTCTGTTCTATGCAAAGTGCTAGCTAGATTCAGTAATGATAGCCTTCCTAGTTCGCTAGCCTACCTGATTGATCTGTTCTATGAAAAGTACTAGCCTAAATTAGTGTTCCCCTACCCACCTTTATCGTGCATTTCTTTGCCATTGGAGTCACTGTGAATGTGTTGCACTGCTCGTGTGTCTCTAGGAGATTGTAGGGGATCTTTTTCTTTCGTTCTCAATAATATGGTTATAATAACGCTGCAATAATATTGCTAGTAGTTAGGTATGGTAACTTCATATCCATCCAGTGAATTTTATTTTTAATGTAAGCGAAGGACTGCTAGTACTGAACAAAAAAAAAAGTCTCTTTGGAGATACATGTAGCTTGAAAAGGTCAAATTTTGGATCTTCTTCCTGGGAATTCTGTGTTCCACAGATGTGACACGCGTTTTGTGCGAGCTGGAGCTCACGATTCGGAGGGTGAAGGTCTGTACCACGCCTGATGGGAGTGCGCTAGATCTTTTCTTCATCACAGATGCCAAGTCAGTTTATCTCCAAACACATCGTTTTCAGTGCCTTATGAGAATCTCTTTTTGCTGTCTCTAAATTCCAGAAACTATTATTCTGTGATAACATGATAAAATCCTATAGTTTTGTATTATTCATCGAGCATCTTGGCTCAGATATCAACAATTATCCATTCTTTTCTTTTTCTTTTACATCATAATGCGGTACCGTGCATTGTGTACCAAATTCCACCATTAAGAATAGGGTTTAGCTCCATGTCTTCCTTTAGATGATTATAAATGATCAATCTGGAATGATTTCAGGGAGCTTCTGCACACAAAGAGCAGAAGAGAAGAAACTCAGGACAAACTCGAGCGTGTCTTAGGCGACTCCTTGACATGTTGTGAAATAGATCCTGCTGGTGAAGACATGTTGGCTTGCCTCCAATCCTGGGCTTCGCTGACGCCTGCTATTATGGAACAGATGTTTAACACAAATCTCATAGAGGAGCAATCGATCAGCACAAGGGGTGGTACCATCTCCGTGACAATGGACAACTCGCTTAGCTCTGTCCACACTCTTATTCAGATTCAGTGTGGTGACCATAAGGGCCTCCTATATGATATCATGAGGACGGTCAAAGACTGCAACATTCAGGTAACAAGATTCAAGCAAAACTAATTCGTGGCAACTGTATTCTCTCTCTTTTTAAAACAAAGTGAAGAAAGCGAGTGGAATTTTGTTTGCTGTCAGATTTCGTATGGCCGATTCTATGCGAGCCAAAATGGAAGGTGCGAGATTGATTTGTTCGCAGTGCAATCAGATGGGAAGAAGATCCTTGATCAGCACAGGCAGAAAGCACTGTGCTGTCGCCTAAGGATGGAGGTCCTCCAACCACTGCGTGTGGCATTGGTGAACCGAGGTCCTGACACGGAGCTGCTGGTAGCAAACCCGGTTGAGGTTTCTGGAAAGGGTAGGCCGCTGGTGTTCTTTGACATCACCCTTGCTCTCAAGAATCTTCAGAAACAAATCTTCTTGGTATGGTTCTATATATTGTTTATTCTCGTGCATATTTAACAGTGATTGATCATAGATTACTGTTTTTAACCGAGAAGCATCTCTTCACAAACGATGGAACATTGTGATGTTTGTAGGCTGAGATTGGGAGGCACGTTGTGGAAGATAGGGAGTGGGAAGTCTATAGATTGCACTTTGGTGAGGAGCATGAGCTCTCGTCTGCACTGCGGAGCAAGATTGTGGATGCAGTCACCAACATGCTGATGGGGTGGGACTAATGACACTGCTGCCGTGCCTCTGAAACATTATCACTAGTGTTCCTGCAGAAACTAACTTATTTGGTGCAAGTAAAAAGCAGCAACTGATCTCTACTTGTCTCTTAAATACAGAGACACAATAGTATGAACTTTTTGATTCTGAACATACACTAGGACACCGGGTCCTATAGTCTGCACCAAACCTCAGTTCGGCCCATCCCCGATGTATATACATATATTGAAGCATGATCAAGAATTATGTTCGACTTCTTTCAAAAAAGAATTATGTGTGACACTTACCACTTTGTCTTTGTTAGAAATTGAGTTCTTCCTGCTGATCGGTACACAAGCACAAAGACACATAGAACAGGTGTTGGGAGATGGAATTGAGTTCTTCTATTTCTGGATGATTTCAAAACATGAACGTGTATATAGAGGTGTTCCTTTTAGCTCTTCATGCATCCCTTTTATAGAAGGAAGAAGCAGAACACTGCTACTTCAATTTTACTATTTAACGTCTACGCTCTTCTCATTAATTTGGCCACTATTCATAGTCATATTTTCTCATAGATTTTTTACTTTGATTTCACAACACTCCCCCTTTGATGGAGACATGCGATGGTAGATTCGATTGGTGGAGAACTTGACATTCACGGTCTAGGCTTCAAATCAAGTATGATTCGGACTCTTGCAACCGCTACATCACGACACTGCTGGTTATCAACCACGCACAACGCGATTGACCTCGCCTAGAATGTTTTTTTTTCTGCAAGCGAATCAAGAACACAGACAAGAACATGAAGAACACAATCTAGTATTGCAAATATAGATGAAGTATATCAATCTAGTATTAGGGTCAAGTCTGGATTCGAAAGGACCAATCGGCATAAGCGAACAAGAACAAGAATATGGCCCCTGATTCATAGCAGTCGAACTTGGCGTTACAAGTGCTACGAATAATGGCCTTGTTGGTTTCGCTGAAATTTGGCTTATGCTGATGCTTATGCTGATTTGTTGCGAGAGAAAAACGCTGTTCGTTTGTTGAAAAGTACTTCTAAAGTACCGCTGAAAAGTCCGCTTCACGAGAAAAATGAGAACTAAAAAAACCAAACTCTAATGAGTGCGGTGGTGATTAATTGTAAAGCCTTGGACGTGCATACCCCCTGGACGCCCCTTAATAGCCTCTTAGATAATACATGGCCCAACAGACCAAAAGACGATATCGTCGCACCTGGCAAATTTTAGATGCTGACTTGTTTCGATGATTCTCAATGACTCCGGTGGATTTTTTGTGTCAAACCAACGTGTTGACACAAAATGTGACGCACTGTGCCCCACACACAGCAAGCCGGAAAGCGTAGCTTCAATTGGGTGCCCGGGTTCTTCGTGATCCGGAAACGTGTCAGTCAGTTTGACCTGAAAAAACTAACAAGGGATAAAACAGTTAAATGCCAAACCGGAACATGTCGGGTGAGACCAGACAGTTCTATATATACGGCCCTGAAGCCACTTACAACGACATACAGCTATAGGAAGCTATCTGCCAGCAAGTTTATAAACCATTCGGCTAATCGTAAGATGAGCATATGTAAAGATCCGATTGCCGAATGCATGTGCATGAGAAGACATGTTTGAACAAGTGAAATTAATCATGAGTTAATGCATAACCAAGCTCAGCAATCCAGCCGAGTTGGGGTCCATGAAGAAGGAACGTGCAAATAAACACGATTAAACTAATCTAAAACCTGCATCTGCCGCACGACACCTAGTTTCGTCAAAGCTTAAACGTAATTAACATGCATGAACCCACGACATGTGACAATCTAGATTAAAATAATTCAGCCATTACGAGCATGTTATCTATTTGCAAAGGTAATACGAAAGTAATGATCATTGAAGCACGAATAGAACCATAAGAGAGGGCCGAACAATATCAATCTAGATTGGGCAGAAGTGTGTTACAAATATATAAAATATTTAAAACATGCAACACAGGATAACTTAATGAATCTATTTAGATTTTGCCGTATCTAATAGAGCCGATAACTGTCTTGCCTTCACTAAGCATATTGAGCAAACGCCTGCCGCACGGTATCTACTAATAAACAAAGCATAAGCAAAGACTTCTTGCTTGTCAAACAAAGATCCGCCGCACGATCATTGAAAACAAACAAGACTACTTGCATCATATCTAAATCCACCGCATGATACTAAACATGATAACAAGGTTGTCGGAACTTACGGAGGTCGACGGATCGATGACTCCTCTCAAAGAACTCGACGACACGACAAAAGGACTCGAAAGTTGGCACGGGGCCGGTTGTATTGATTTGGTTGTGAACCCTTATTACAATGGTCGAGGGTCAATATTTATACCCTAGACAAAACACGAGTCCTAAAAGACTACGACTTACAAAGGAACTCTTAAACAAACTTGGAAACTACGATTCCTTGCCCTAAACTCTCAGAGTCCTTTATTATTACGACTTTCATCTTTTCGATCGGCTTTGCTTGCCATCTTCTGCTTTCCCGAATGGAGTCACCACCTTCTGAAGTAACCGACCGCACAAGCATTTAGCCGACCGCTCGTTTTGTTTGCCGAATGTCCTTCTTCCTGTATGCGGGTCCACCTGTCATCTTCCGAAGTCGACCAAAATCCAGTGTTAACACATGCCCCCTCAATTTCGGGATAAAGATTGTTTTATTCTGAAATTGACCACAAGCTCTTTCTCCCTCCTAGGTCAGCACTGTTCAACACCGCAGCCGCTGTCCAAAAATTCAAGCTTTCAGCGCAACCTCGGACCCATTTCGAATCTTCAATGGCGACCCAGGATGAAATTCCAGAGGTAAACTTCACTTATATTCAACAATTTCCACTTGATCTTCCCGTTCTTCTTTTGGCTTATTCCTCTTTGATTTCAATCACCCTTTACAGGAATACAAGAATAAGATTTTGATCCCTTATGCTGCCAACCCTGATTCCTATTTCCTCGGCCCAATGGGAAATCCTGACCCTTTTGAAATTATCGAGAAGGAAACCCAAAGAATCCCTTTCAAATCTGGGATCACCTTGCCAAACCGATGGCCAAACACGTTCAAGAATTGGCCATTTCCTCCAATCGCTGGATGGCGGAATTGGTACAGGAGAATGCTGGAGAAAAGCAGTAGCCACTGGGAAAGTCAAGACATCAGTCATTGTCTGGAATTATCCTTAGCAGAAACACCCAGAAACGATTCCCTTTTGATAGCAGCTTCCCATTTTTGGTCTGACACCATTAATGCCTTCATCTTCGGCCATGGTATGATGACCATCACTCTAGCCGACGTGTTCATGATGGTAGCTTGAACGTGTCACTACCAAATATACCCTCATAAGTACAAGAGCAAAAGTAATCAAAGAGCCATCAGCTCTGGATGTGGATGGGTCAAATACATCTAGAACTACATGAATGCATCTGGCATCATTTCCGACAAAGAGTTGAAAGCCTTCATGAACATGTGGCTATGCAGATTCATCTTCATGGAAAATCCAATGAACCAACTCTGAATCATATGGTGATGGTGAAGATTTAGCTGCGCAGCACTCGATCCCACTAGGCAAATATCTTTTGGGGTCATTTTATCATATGATGCATCAGATTACTCTTCGAGATCGCCAAGGTGGAGAAATCTCTTGTGTGAATGGTCCTGGTGGCTAATTCGGATGTGGCTCCAAACAGTACATGCATCGAGATAACCTCTGTGAGCCTCTTCAATCTAAGTTTTCCTTGATTAACTATCTTTGAAGGCAACCAAAGAAAGGTTAAGGCTTGTCGGACTTATGGGGAAGCGACATCATCTATCGGCATTGACATAGACATTGGTCATTTCTTCAAGCTGTTTTTTGAAAGGATTCGATAATGTGCTCTGGTTCCCTTACGAGAAAATGAAAATTTGACTTTGCCACCGCAAGTTTAGCTATGAAATTGGTTGTTCAGTTCGAGGAATCCATGGAGATCTTCAACTCCTTTATCAAACCTTGCACTCTGCCAAATTGAATTTCATCATGGGAGGTTAGTGCAGTCCACCTATGAATTCTACTATCCAAATATGGTGGTCGGACAATTAGGATGTGGCCAACCGCCCCAAGATTCCTCTTCTCAACAATCATAAAGCCAAGGGAAGTAATAACGAGAAAGAATGGAAGCCAAGAAAATCTTTGAATTAGGATGGGAATTGCCAACATGCGAACCATCTCCATTTGGGCTAATAGATGTTGCTCATCCCTTCTTTGTCTCTTGGTGGCAAGAATGGCATGCTCATATCTTCAATATATCAATTCATCCTTTATGCAAAAACTTGCAGCCCGATTTTGCTTCGATAGTGAGGTAATTTCATTAGGCTCACCATTTCCTGCTCTCTTGAATTCACTTCTTATTTTAACATCCGGTTATGCACAGGATCTTGAGCCTACTCCCCCTTAAAAGCAATCCAAAGACTATTCGGCCGGTCCCAAGCACCGCTCTCTGGATTTGATGCTCCAAAATTAAAGGAATTCATGAAAATTCCTGCAACTTGGATTCAGTACCTCTAAAGGTACTCATGAGAACTCCCGCTACTTCAATTTTTTTGCATCTTCAAGAGGAAAAAGCAAAAGGAAAACACACAAAGTTTTCTCTTACCCAAGAAACCAAGGACCAAGAAAGCCAAATCATCTCTTAAGGTATGAACCTTTTATCCTCCATCAGTTAACAACCCTACTTAGCGATAAACCCGACCACCTCTATATTCATTACTTCCATTACATTACAAGTCGAAATTCCCAGACTAGGCAAAGCACCTCAAAGTAATTTGTAAACCAACTCCTGAAGTTTCTATCGAAAATGAAGAAATCCATGACAATGAAGCTTCAGAGACTCTCATGAAGCTGAAGGTTCAAAGGCTCATAAATCTGATGAGACTATAGGTAACATCGTTCAACCAATTCTCTTTTTTCTTCTTTTTTTTTTTTTAAATAACATCTATCCTTTATGCTCATTATC